AGAAAATAGTTGTCGATTTACGAGCGACCCGATAGAGAAATCCGACTGTGAAGGAAGCAAATGTGCACACCGAGGAATAATAAAAGTTACTTTTCGTGCAGCGAACAATGTTGTTAAGGGTCGAATTGATTATTCGAGCCGAAGTTGTAAAACCGAAGTTGTAGGGTCTGTTAGGGTAATAAATCTTCAACCCCAGGTACCTGCGGAAAGAAAACAGACACCCCATGCGTCCCAGACACCCTTCTACAAAATGTTCCTTCTTAGAAAAACTACTCACGCTCGGAGAAGTCAATAGATTTCTTCTTCTAGTTTCTTTTCAGAAATTTTCTGAACCTTTTTCGAAACGAAGATTGAGATTTGTTAGTTTAGGGGAGATTGAGGGACCTGTTGAGTAAAAGGCAATTTCTAAATTTTAAACGTGTTGAGGTCTCCATTTTTTTTTTGTAGAAAACTCAATTATTTGTAATTAATTATTAAAGTCTTTAGTTTGAGAATTTTGTAATTTTTGAATATTTAAATTTGCAAATTTTCCAACTATTTTAATTCTAAAATTCTAATTACATATTTATTAAATATAATATATGTTTTCATGTGTTCATTTGTTTTCATATATTTTTTTTTGCTATCAATAATTACTTCATATTCTAAAATAGTAATTTGACAGATAAATGAAAAAGAAAGATTTTCATATATTGCATATATGAATAATTTTCATATATTGCAAAAACACACTACACAAAATTTTACCTAAATTTTTGTAATTGAATAACATCTCGAAAGAGGAGAAAATGGACTAAAAGCTTGTTCGTCAAAATGTGTGCCATCATTCGGCAATATATCGCGTATTTGACCGAATAAAGCCTAGGTCCGCAAATCGCGGAACGATCGACATAACTAGACCCGTAGAAGGCATCAATAACTATAAATGGACATGATGGAAGGAAAGATCGTGAGTTCCGTGTCGTCGGTAGAGTTCTTTCTCGCTGGCGAGAGTCATCGTCGAACGACCGGTCGCGAGTGTGACGAACGATCGACCTGGTCGAGCCGCGCTCTCGATCACAGAAACGGAAATGCGAGAAAAAGACAAAGAGGACGAAATAAGGCAGAAACGACGATGCTGGACGAAGGTGTACGCGCCGAGAATGTCGGATACTGGTTGCATATAGTAGTGCAAAAATGATCGTCTCGAGTAGATCCCTTCACGTTTCCTAGGAAAGATCCTCGATCCTTCTTTCTTGCCATATATAGCGAACGCGTTACTTGTAGACGACGTGTAAATTAAACTTTTATAGATCGATGCTCTCTTTTTTGGTACTATAACACTACTAAATATTATATATCTCATATTACATATTACATACTCAGTATTGTATATTGTACATCGCATATTGCATTTTGTATATTGTATCCTGTACATTGTATCTTGTGCATTGTACCTTGTACATTGTATCTTGTACAATGTATCTAGAACATTGTATCTTGAACGTTGTACCTCGCACATTGTATCTTGTGCATTGTACCTTGTACATTGTATCTTCAACATTGCTTACTTGTAGACGACGTGTAAATTAAACTTTTATAGATCGATGCTCTCTTTTTTGGTACTATAACACTACTAAATATTATATATCTCATATTACATATTACATACTCAGTATTGTATATTGTACATCGCATATTGCACCTTGAACGTTGTACCTTGCACATTGTATCTTGTGCATTGTACCTTGTACATTGTATCTTGAACATTGTACCTTGAACATTGTATCTTGAACATTATATCTTGTACATTGTGTCTTGAACATTGTATCTTGTACATTGTGTCTTGAACATTGTATCTTGTACATTGTATTTTGAACATTGTATCTTGAACATTGTATCTTGTACAATGTATCTAGAACCTTGTATCTTGAACATTGTATCTTGTACAATGTATCTAGAACCTTGTATCTTCAACATTGTATCTTGAACGTTGTACCTTGCACATTGTATCTTGTACATTGTGTCTTGAACATTGTATCTTGTACATTGTACTTTGAACATTGTACTTTGAACATTGCATCTTGTACAATGTATCTAGAACATTGTATCTTCAACATTGTACCTTGAACGTTGTACCTTGCACATTGTATCTTGTGCATTGTACCTTATACATTGTATCTTGTACATTGTACCTAGAACATTGTATCATGAACATTGTATCTTGTTCATTGTATATTGTACATTGTATGTTGTACATTGTATCTTGTACACTGCACATTATACATTGAATATTGTGTATTGTATAAAGTATGTGACAGCCACTATATTATATAACGATTATAAGTGAAAAGTAGAAAATCCCCATTTAAGATCAAAGTTACTTTTAATACTTTTAAAGACGCATCGTGCACGAATGAGACATACTGTTATTTCCGTCCTGGATCACTCTATAAACCCACAAAGTTTCATTTAAACCGATGAGTAAGGGTTCGTTTCCCTGTTAGCTATCCTCGAATCGTGCTACCAATAAAAAGTCGTTTCTTACGTATTCTACACACAACTTCCAAAGGATTCGTTGCATGTCGAGCCACGAGACTAGTGTAAATCGTTTGTTTGTATCGTCTTGTAGACGCACGTGATCATTGTTCTTAACAAGCTTTATACAGGGTGACACGAAAATTGCGGTATTAATTTGATAACTCAATTTTTTTCGATATAGTCATTTGCCATAGAAGAAATAATACTTATATCGATACACGCATCGAATTAATTTGTTGTAACTTTTAGTAATGCAATGGATTGATATTTTGTGGTATTAATAGCTTGATTATGGTTTAAAAAATTTAGAATGTAGACTGTGCTATTTAAACCATATCGGTGTTTACAAACAGAGAGATAGATGCAATCAGGAATGTAATGACGTGATAGACTAGTTGCACTTATCTAATCAATCTTCAAACTCGATATTCGTCTAAACAAGATGTGGGACGAACAAATTTTATCTGACAAATATTATTTTAGTTCTTCGTTAAAAAAGATGGGTATCAGTACATAGTTCTGATAAAAGATATAATTAATTTCTGTGATAAATTTTGTACTGGATGATATTCATTTTTCCTTCGATATCCTTGACTGGATAAAGGTTAAAATTTTTTATTATTTTTATTATTATTACACCTTGAGTTCAATGTTGAAATAATACTCAAGAAATATGTGTATTTAACATTGATCAACTTAATAATTTTATTTCTACTGAATAAACTTGATTGTTCATTAAAATGATTTCAAAGTATGGCGCGAAAATTTAAAAAACAGAGAAAAATAAGATTCACTCGAGTGTGGACGTTACGTGTGAAAATCACGCCGCAATTAATTCCCTCGTAAATCGCCGTTAACACGCTACTATAATTTTTCAAACGTATCACGCAACAATATCTACAAAACCCTTATCTGACCACTGTTTTGACATAAAACAGATAAGGATAAAAATTGTAAACAAATCTACTTGTATCACGAAGTGTCACGAGCGCTAAACATAATATAGTGATCGATAAAACACTTACCACCGGAGTAAAGAACGACATAGACGGCGATAAGTTATCGATAGAAAACTTATCGAGTCACCGTTCGTATTGGTAAAAATCAAACCAGACAAACCACTCCATGCCGATTGCTCCTCTTTCGAACCACTTTGCCGCGTTGGATGATTCGATTACAGGCACATCGATCGAGTCACACGACGATCGAAAACACGAATCAATATTTCGCGGTAACTGACTTGCTCACACTTTGTCACACGATATTTTCTTGTCGATCGCGTCAATGCGCGATGCGTTTACACGGACGAAACGCGTTTCGAGAAACACGTGACGTTTAAAGCATCGCGTCTCGACACAAACTGAATGTAAACTGACTACCGATCCACGCCGTAGCGATACAAGATGCCCGAACGGCGGCCTCGCGTCTGATTGGCCGACGCCACTTAGCTTCCCCGTTAAACGGCCAATCGGATTTATGGTACTTTACGGGGGACTACGCGCGTCGTTCGAATTTAAATTTAAACGCCGCACTCGTTTCAACATTGCGTTTAACATATTGTTATAACCTGTTGATTACTAATGTGTTTGAGTTTGTTACTGTTATTGTTTCGTGTTAATGTAACTTTACAATAAAGCTCTGAAAGACATATATTTATTTAGCATTTCTTTCTTATTTCGACACACAAAATATATCAACAGTTTCGTATTTAAAATCTGGGATATGTATAATAAAAAACTAAATCGTTTTGTGGGATTCTTAAAATTAAATTAGAAAACTGAGAGTTCAGAAATTCTACAATTTAAAAATTTGAGAAATAATAAAATTTTAGGTCTAGTTTTTTAAAAAAGACCTTCATTTACTCTAAGAAAGCTTTCGTTGGCAGATATCAAAAAGACCCACGCCCAATCTGGTTAGTTGACGATGTTATAAATCTTTGACACACAGCGTTTAATTACCCTCGCATATCAATAAATAAATCAATAATAAACTTACGTTTTATCTCTTCGATAACGATTTTTCATCGCAATTCGCAACGCAAACAGTCTTACCGCACGCGAAAACGCGTTTACTAATTGAATAACAAAAAACCGATAATAGAATCGGTTTGCCAAGCACGATACAAGGATGATGTATCGACATAGTAGAGCGAAAATTGTACCAACAGGTTTGGTCGGATCCAGCTTGTTAAAGCAAATCAACGAGCACGAACTGGTAACAGTTCGCTAACCGTTGTCTCGTTCGATTAATTATGATTAATCATCTGCACCAATTCGCTGGTTGCAACGAGAACGAGTCGACCTGTCTCACTTTCCAGTAGGACAGATCCGCTTGAAGCAATTGTATATCAACGTGACGTCAGTTTAATAGACTGCCACATAAATAACGTAACGTTTGACTTAAAGCGAACAGTAGCAGGTAGTTAATATACGTCCAGGTAACTTTATCTCTATAGTAATCGACATCTAATGTGTACTCACGTTAGTAGATAGTTGGCTGGTCAAGGAGTGGACCTTTTCCTGAGCGTCCATTAACTCTCGTCGCAGTTTTCTCAGCTCGTGTGCCTGTTTCTCCTCGGCTGAACTGTACAGACTGCTCGCTGTCGATACCAAAGATACAGAAGAACCGTGGACTGAAGGCAAAAGAAGGGGAATTTTTCTTTCTTTTTTCGTTTCTGGACAAATTACATAGTGCCACACTGACAAATTTAGGTGAGAAGTATTTCTATATCTGACAGTTGAATCGAAGTTTTCTTTGAAAATGTGAAACGTATAATTTTTGTATAGAGATTGATTAAATATAAAAATGCGGGTGGATATGGGTCAGTGTGGCTCTTAACAGATTCAGTAACATAGTATTATTCATAGTCAATCTAACTTAGTAGCCCCAATTTAATTTTCAAGCTTTTAATTTCAAGATTAATACAGTCCTACATAAATAAATTGCTAAATAACCAAAATTCCCAAAAATCATTAAATCATGTTCTCAAAAATCATTAAAAATCAAGAAGTCAGTAATAAGCCATGGAAGTATCAATGAATAACGTAGTCACATTTTCTAAAGAGAAACTTACTATCATCATCCTTGTGCACGTGTTGATAAAGGTTAGGTGGTTGCCGCGAGGTATGTGTAGGCGTCGGGGACGTCGGTTGAGACCAGTGTTGTCCTGTACACCCGGTAGATCCTACAGGAACACTGTAATAAGGTTCAACGCCCACTCCCATTCCTATCCCGACCCCGACTTCCTCACCAACGGAAGATGAAGCTCCGCTTCCTCTAGCTAACATCGACGGATACATTTTTTCGCTTTTCGTGGATCTGCGAAAACACAGGTACAACAATCTGAATCGCCAACAGAACACCATAGAAAGATACATCGTAATGCCTCCGAACAAACAATCCCTTAAGCGAATCTACTTATTCTGGCAACTCTTCAGAATACACTAATTAAGGAACTGTTTGCAACGTCGGAGAATAAAAAGCGCGTAACGTGCACCGATAGAAAAATAATGTCGAGGTTCAACAAAGAGGAATGATCGAAAAACCTTGTTGAGAATTTTAGAAAGTGTTCCTGTATCCCTTACGCAAATCACCTAAGTAGATTTCTTTGAACAACAGTAAGCACAGATACTCAATGTAGATAATCATACTCCATTGTATCCAGGAACAAAGATTGTGAACATCGATAGGCGTTCGTGAATACAAAAGAGCTGCGTGTATTCGTGTCCTCAAGATGAGAACCTCGAGATGCGAAGAAATTGGAGGAGAGTTTAATCTTGTTCGATGAAAACTTGTCTGGGTCGATCGATCAAAATGGCGTCGTCGCATCTAAGGGTGCTCGGTTTACTTAGGACGACGAATGAGAACGCGTCTGTCTACCTGACGAGTGTATACGTAATTAACCGATCTGGAGGAGCCTTCTAATTAGAACATTCTCCGTTTGTACTCGAGTACTGATTCTCTGCAACTGCGTATACACTCGCGCGATTCTTTACCAGCGAAAGGAAACGTGCTGCGGAACAAAAGGTGAATATTTTTAGAACTAAAATTTATAGGTGAATAGTACAATTTAGATGATTAATAAGTATACAAATACTGCGAGTATCAAATTTAGAAAAATATGTTAAGTACATTTTAATATTTGATTTCATGTTTGTATTGGGTGGTGAAGAAGGAGGTTGAACATCACGTGACTCCTCTCGAGCGCTCAATTTAAATTTTACGTACAGTATGACTCCATCTTGGCCACCCAGTGAAGTACAAAGTGTATATTAATATATGACATAAACGTTTCGTTTCGCTGTCTGACAATAAATCCATAAAGAAGCTTTAAACATGCATTCGCAGAAGCACAGGTCACAAATGCAAAATGCGAAGGAAGTCGAAGACGAATCAACGAACTAATATTACTGTTTAACTGGTATACAGGTATAAATGTTCGTAGAGAAGAATAAAAGTACACATGAACGTGTGTGTATGTTTCTGGTGCGGATAATTTTGTCACTCGTGTGTACGTATAACAAGGTGTTGCAACCCTATTAGGTGCTGTTCTTTTTAATACTTATGCATGGAAAACAGGCTGGACGAATGTGTATTCTAGATTGTCTCACTACCTTGGGAATGTCCTGTCCCGCAGATGGCTAGAACGGTATCAAATGATGTGCGTTATTTCACCGTAAACGGGTAATCGTTGTCATAGGGTGGTTTTAATTATAAAGAATCAGAAAAAAAGAACGAAGCTGATGAAACTGATCGTTTTGATAAATGTGGTGAGATATTTGCATCCTCTAGTCATGCATCTATACAATATGAACGTATGCAAATGATGTTCTAATGATTTCATATAAAGTCGTAGAAACTAATGCATGAAAGATGGAACGGGTTGTCGTACACTTACCTGATCGAGTTACTTCGATTGAGTCTGGGTGGAGCTGGAGATCCTGTGGAGTCTCTTTGATGCATCAGTAAACGGGCGTGGGTCAAACTTGCTCGATGCGATCCTAATGATTCGACGCTGTCTGCTTCGCACAAACCCATTCCTGAAATTTTAACGATTAACTTTAATAATTCTTACGGATTAAATTATCCTATACTATTGTTAGAATGCACTGTTCACGTCTGGTAAGTTAACAGTTCAGCAACGTCAATCATATTGTCTGCAAACTCACTTGATGTGCGCAATACTTTTTTGAAGGTAAATAATTCAAGTTTTGAGAGAAGTTAAACATTCATACATTTGCTACAACAATTTTAACAATAACGACCTGTCTTTTAACTACGCCATCTTGTTGTGGTTGTCGTAATATATAAATTATGTATATAGTTCATCGTTGACATATGTGAACGTATAGGTTATTTAATAACGGCTACATATGTGGATAATCTTTTCGTTCATTACGACATAACAACACAAATAAATAAAATTATAATAACATTCATACATTCAACTATATAGCAGCACTGTAACATCAATCTATCACTGAAAACTTGCCTTGAGAGCGTCCACTAGGTGTATAGGTGTTACTATGTCTCATCCAGGACGTGGTGTACGGACTATTAGGCGTGTAATAACCTTGAAGATCAGGTGCCGCATAATTGCTGCACGTATCGCTGAGGCTTCCATCAGAAGGTTTGAGTACTCTCGGTGAAAAGGACGTGCCAGTTGGTCCACCACCGGATCCTCTTTCTCGATGATGCGCGGACGCAAACAGTGCCGTAAACTCTGGGCTGCCAGGTTTCGGCAAACTCTGCGATCCGAGCATAAGACGATCTCGAACCGACTGAGAAAGCTGACTGGCACTTGGTCCTGTGAGACTGTAACTCTTGTAGTGATGTCCTTGACTTGATCCTGAAGAATTAGCTTGCAGCTCCGTGGTACACGTTTGAGTTCCTCCAGACACCTTAACCTGCAATTAAATCACAGTTGAACATTTTTGTTAATTTCTTTGGGGTATTCAAATAATTATTCGGGTAATTTCTAGGTAATTTTGATTAATTTCTAGATTATTTCTATTTATTTCTAGTTGAGTTTGCAGAATTAGTTAGACGATGAAAATAAGTAAGGTTAAAGTAGAGGTAGATTTTAATGTCACGTTTAGTGAAATTACCAGAATATGTGTGTGAAATAAAATATGTATATTGCTCCTTTTTATATTTCATAATAATGATAGTTTGGAGAATGGTAAAATAGATAGTGAATTTACCTTCGTTCGTGGAACGGCGCTGACTTGAGCAGTTCGAGTAGCATCCTTCCCATTCTGGACCCCATTAGGGCTGGGACTAGTGCCGGCACTGTGTCTTTTAACGTATCCGAAGCTTTGGGGTACACCCCTGACTTTGCTGCTGCCACTGGTCGATGTTCCCGACGAAATTTTTTGCGGTTTCTCGCCATTCGCATATTCAGCCATGGCCTGTTTACGGTGTTTATCCTGCGAAAATGACACATTTTAAGCATGTGATTCATTCTCCGTCTACAGAAATAATTTACTACAGTAATGAAGTACTAAGATTTTTGAGAATTTTTAAATATTGAGATTTTAATATATCAGGTTGCTAGAACTTCTGAATATTGCCAAATACATGCTACAATTCCGAACAGAAACATAGCTCCCAAAGGGCCACTGAACAAAAAATTTCTGCACAAACACACATACTCCTTCCATTGTCCCCTGAATGTCCCATACAGCAATTAACGAGTTCCATCAACCCGTCCATCTCGAAGATCAATATTGTCTAGCCCACATATACTGTCACGTAGCAATGTTTTATAAAGAGAGAAAAAAGATACATGAATGTTTACCTGGGATCGCCTGGAGGGACTAGGACTCGGGGGTGCGCCCTCCTTGTCTCTTTCCCGATCCCTGGCAGCTCCAGCCTCGATGTACTTCTTCCATTGCTGGCTATTCGAGCTACTGTTTCCCGAGCTGTTCGAGCCTTGCTGTTGCTGCTGGTGCTTGAACGCCGAGCTGTCTGTTTGCTGAGAGCTGTCCGACTTCTTCACGTGAGGATGATGACCACCAGGATGCCTGGAGCTCACCACCCGGTACACCAGGTTGCTGCCCTGTTGCCCACCTTGGGGGGTGGCCGAACTACTGCCACCCCCCACAATCACGCCGCCACCACCCGGCACTCTCTGTTCACGAAAAATGGATTTTTTAATTATGGTTCAAGTTGAATAATTATTTATTGTTATAGAAATTGCTTTTGCGTTAAGGTTTGTAGATTTTTAGATTTGTAGATATTTGGGTTTCGGAATTTCAAGGTTTCGGGAACCCTAGATTGCTAGATATTTGGGTTTCGGAATTTCAACGTTTCTAGAACCCTAGATTTTTAGATTTCTCGTTTTGGAATTTCAAGGTTTCTAGAACCCTAGATTTTTAGATTTCTGGTTTTGGAATTTCAAGGTTTCTAGAACTCCAGATTTCTAAATATCTGGGTTTTGGAATTTCAAGGTTTCTGGAACCCTAGATTTCTAGATATCTGGGTTTCGGAATTTCAACTTTTCTGGAACCCTAGATTTTTAGATATCTGGGTTTCGGAATTTCAACGTTTCTAGAACCCTAGATTTCTAGATATTAGGGTTTTGGAATTTCAAGGTTTCTAGAACTCTAGATTTCTAGATACGTGGGTTTCGGAATTTCAAGGTTTTTAGAACCCTGGATTTCTAAATTTTCAGGTCTCTAGGTTCCTAGATTTTGAGGGTACTACATTACTAGTTTTCTAGATTTCTAGATTACTAGACTTTTGTGTAGGAATCTAGGAATGTTTTTATATATGAAGATTGCTGGATCCCTAAGTTTCTATATTCGTGGGTTCCTAGATTTATAGATCTCTAGGTTTTTAAATTTCTATATTTTTTTATTCTCTACATCCTTAGATCTCCAAAAGAATCATGAACTACCCCTAAACAAAACACTCCAAAAATAATACAAATCACTGAACAAAAACTAATCTAACAAACGCAATAATTGATGAGGTCTTCAACCTCAACAACAACATAGTCAACTAGTTCATTAAATTTCACTGACTCATACGATACATCAGTTGATTTAAAACTTAATCCTTGAATTGTCCACAAAGGAACTGACGATCAACAGAAACTTAATGCGATGCAATGCACGTTTTATTCCTAGAAATTCTTATCAGCACTGAATGCATTACGAGGATATCAATGTCGGTGTAATCGGGCGTCAGACCTGGGTCAAGGACTTCCGGCGAGGTTGATATCACTATTATCGATTGACGAGCACCAGTTCGTAGGAGTCAGAACCCCCATGGTATGATTCAGAACAGGGCGCCATGACGGCGGCTGTTCAATGGGGTACAAGCAACACCACTTCTACGATATTAAGCCTTGATCGTTGGGTATAGAAAAGAATTTAATATTGATTTGTTGGTTTTTATTTATTTTGTTGAATGGAGACTTTATTTCTTTTATTATATGTATATAAGCTTTTGTTATATGTTTTACTAGTTTATTACTTTTTATTTTTTTGTTATATATTTTGTAATATATTTCATTTGGTATATTATTTTTAATTTTTCTTTTTTATATATTTCACTATATTATATTTAATATACTGTAATATATTTCACTGATGATCTTTATCGTATTCCGTTTTAGAAATAAAATTCATTGCATTAAATTTTTTAATAGAGCAGGTAGCAGTTTTTGCAAATCATCCTTGAACCTAATAATAACTGCTTCGTGACTGCATAATCATTTGCATATTTTAATCATTTGACCTATGATTTCGAGTTATAGATTATAATTTAAATGGGTTAAAGTGAAAATTAATGATACAGAGAACTAAAAATGGGATTTTTTAATTTTGGATTTAGGAATTTGAGAAATTGGGGACTTTGGAAATTGAAAAATTTGGGGATTTTGATATTCTCAAACATGGGATTTTGGGACTTGGACAATTTGGGAATTTGAAGACTTGAGATTTTAGGAATTTTAGGAAAATTTTTGAATTTTGAGGTACAGAATTTTAGTTATTTATAAAATGACAAATATGAGAATGTGGAAATACAGAATTTTGATTATTTAGAAATTAAGAAATATAAAAATTTGAAAATTGCATACATAACGTATACGTATATACATATAACCAACAAAAACACAAAATAAGCTAAATAACCATTCCAAAAAATCGCGAACACCCTTTCCCTCCAAAAGTCCTCTCAAAACAACCCATAACCGATCAATCATCCTAAACAGACTAACAAGCGAACAAAAAAAATTCTCCATCTTTGTTTGATTTCTAGTAAACCACCACATAAAGTTAAGGTATACGAAGTGACTCACGAGGGTAGAAACGCTTCTTCAGGTTTTTACTGACCAGGTCGTAAAGGTACGCTGAAAAGGCCATAAGCCGGACAAAAGATCCCTATGGGTCGAGCAGAGCTTCCTTTTTTCTCCTCCCTTGTACTTTAACGACATGTTCACCGATCGAATTGACGATAATCCCTGAGCTTGCATCTCCAACGAAAAGAACGATCAAGAAACAATAAACTTTGTCTTTGAACGAAAACCGCCACCGCGAAAATGCAAATAAACCGGCTTCTCTTTCGAGTTACAGTTTCGTGGATGCCTTTCGGTTCTTTCCTTTTTTAACGCGTTTATTTTCAGTTTTCAAGAATGTCTTTGAGATAGCACACCTTTTTTCCGTGGCAGAATAAATGTTAGTGTTGTGACAGGATGCGGTGGAAAAGCAGAAAAAATATGGGCGGAGAAAAATATTTGGGAAAATTTAGTTGAGAATATGTTTGAAATTTTTAGTTGTGAATTAGTTGAAAAGAAGATTTGATAATATAATTTGGTGAGGTATATTAAATTTGTTTAGTGTGTGCAGTTTTAATGAGTATTAATATTACACATGTGTTTACATATATGTTACATATGCTACAACACATATATAGACATGTGTTTGATATTAATTAAAACTAGTTATGGTTCTTTATAATGTTTTAATTTCAGCAAGGTTATGTTTGAGAATAAATTTAAAAAATATTTGAATAAATATTCTGACAATTTTTATAATAAAAGAGTTGGAGAAATACAATATGAAATTTCAGAAGATAGAAATATAGAAATTTAAGAATTCCCATGTACTTAACATATCATTTAATTTTGAAAATTAAAATATTTTTCCTCCCCACATAATTTAACTTTTAAAACTAAATTTCAACATTGATATATTTCATACATCCACTAAACTCATATTCGTATTCAAATTTGATAAAATTTGTATAAAATTTGCGAGTGGTTTTCGTACTAATTAGTGAAAGTTGCGAATAAAATGTCTACCACATTTATAACCGATTTATTTTAAAATCACCCTCCAAGTAGATAAATATAGAATAAAATAAAATAAATATAGAAAAAAATTGTTGCTATTTTTTGTAAATAACCTATTGCGAAATAGTTGTAGAAAATTGCTATTCAATTTGCTGCTAATTTCATCGACACGGAAAACTACCCTCGTCAAAACTGCGAAAGTTCACCGATACACGTGCCCATGAGTTTGGATGGATCGATAACGGCGAAATACCTGTGTGAACATCGAATGCGTCATTGCACGGGATAATTAAGGGATAGCCCTCGAACAGAACCACCCTTGTTACCCTCGACGACTAGTGCAATTTCAATGGGGGGTGCCTATTTGTTTCAGACACTTCTCATTCAAAGCGTATTTCAAATACCTTCTCGACATTCATTTAGTTAAAGCAATTTATCTCCCTTGATTTTACACTAAATTCTCCCTTCATTTTTTATACTAAACTCTCCCTTAATTATTTACTCATTCTACAATGATTTTTGCGCTCAATTTTGCTTTAATTATTTCTATTAAATTCTGTTTTAATTTTTTGCAGTATATTTTGATTTAATTATTTACATTAAATTCTGTTTTGACATTTTGCAGTAAATTTTCGTTTTGACTTTCTTCATTAAGCTCTGGTTTGATTATTTACACTACATTGTGTCTTTAATTTTTATACTACGTTCTGAGGTAATTGTTTAAAATAAATTTTACCTGAATTATTTGTATTAAATTCCGAGTTAATTATTTATGTTAAATTTTGCCTTGATTTTTAAAATTAAATTCTGCTTTAATTATTTATATTTTTATACTAAATTCTGAGTTAATTGTTCACAATCAATTTTATCTTTATTAGTCATATTAAATTCTGAGTTAATTATTTATGTTAAATTCTGTCGTGATTTTTTAAATTAAATTCTGCCTTGATTTTTTAAATTCTGCTTTAATTATTTATATTTAACTCTCTTATTATTTACTCTATTAAATTCTGAATTAATTATTCGCACTAAATTGCATCATGATTTTTGACAACAAATTCTGTTTCAATTACTAACAATAAATTCTGCCTCTTTTACATTAAACGAATTTTATAAATTTCATACGCACTTTATTTCGCCACTCAATACCAAATTTGTAATTTAAATTTGGGGTAAAACTGTTAAGCCTTTCATGAATATATTAATTAGATATTCATTTCATTAAAGCAAGCCACAGTCCCTAATTTTACATTAGGTATCACGGAATGCATAAACTATGTGCTTACATACATTCATACGTTTATAGCAAGCATATTCAACTGTGAATGTAGAATTAAAATTGAAAGAAAAATGTATATCAATCATTTTATAAATAATTAATTATTTATCATGAGACATGACAAGAAGATATCAATAACAAAATTTAATTTTTAATATTTAAGTGACAATAATCACATTGAATTACAAAAACCTCACCAAATCGACTCACCATATTTTATTGTAGCTTTCAGTGTAATATTATAATTCCTCCGTTTATTACATATACTGAAAAATATCATCAGATATTTATACTGTCAACTTATACTGTATCAAACTTATATCAACAATGTCACTTTTAACACAGTCTTCCAACAGCAATTGAACTTCACAACTTTCACTACTCCACACTGCATCAACACAAATTACAAAGAGTAACCTCAAACATCAACATCAACCACAATAATCCACCTACATTTCTCCCTTCATCTAAAACTTCTGATAAAACCCGAAAGAAATCACACAACGAACCTAACTTCCCGCTTAAACCAGAATTACTTAGCAAAGAAAAC